TTTCAAAAAATGCTCAGTCCCCTGCTAAAGTCCAAAGAACCTTTGCTTACAAAGTGTCTGCAGAAACTTCTATAGCAAGCAACTCAGCCTAGGCTTCTCCACTAGATAGAGGTCTTTCTTACTCTGTTTTTTTTTTTCCCCACTGAAATGACTTATTTTACTCCTCCTCCTTAAGATGCTTTTCCTCAATATACCAGAGATAAAAAATTAAAAATCTTCTATAGCCTAAGTAAGGTGTCTTAGACCATCTTTCACCCAAAACCTGAAAAATTCTGCTCTGTAACTTTTAGTGCTAGATACACAGCTGTATCAAAGCAGACATGCAATATATGCAATTGCTCAGACAGCATCATTGGCAGGGCTCCATTATGACTCATACATACTTGTAGTACATAATGAGTGTTCTGTGAATTTCAAATTAAGAAATTTGGTTTAGTTTCCAGTAGTTGATGTTGTAAATAGGCTCTGAAAAGGTAACTTCTGGATACATATAATTCAGATCATTCACACTTAGTAGCTGGCAAAGGCAGGTTTAATGTCCTTAGACAGAAGATGCAGAAAATACAAAGCCAAAGAGTATGGGTGAACACATCTAGACAGGTGTATCTTCATAAATTGGACTGAAAAGGGAAATTCCACATGACAAAGGGAGTGCGATGAAAATTCAATCCATTTTATGCAATGTAGAAACCAATATAGTAAGTTTTGGAAAGTCAGAAAGTCAGAAGATAAAGTAGCATCTGAGCATGTGTGGGTAGCAGAAGGAACCTGATGGCTGTGATCATTGTGTCAGCACAGCAACCTGACTTTATGTGTAATACATCAAAGAGAAAGCCAAACTTGTGGACAGAAATATTGAGGCCTTTTTAAAAACAAAACAAACACACACACACATACACAAAAAGACAACACCAAACCTCTGTGTATCATTTGGCACCTCAAAAAAGGAAAAGATTTACAGCCACTGTTAAACATGTGGCTGTAAACAAGCTACCCAAATGGTGTGCCTTAAGCAGATATTGCTCTAGTATTGACCCTCTGCACGCGTGTGCTCACCCAACCAAACAGCACAGCTCAGGCTTTAAAATCCACAACAAAGCTCAACTGTTCAGTAGAAGGACTGCATGCTTTGCCGGAATTGAACACAGAACAGGTTAATTAATCAATGTTTGCAAAGCCCTTTGAAATGGAAAAGTGTTCTGGAAGCTACAGATTTCTATTACGTAAAACTTCCCTGTTAGCACTGAAGTTATAATCCATTTCCCTTAATGTGTTATGAGTAAGAGGATAGGAAACATGACATTGCAGATACCGGTTACCACAATTATCAAAGGCCGTGCAAAAACTCAAAGTTTCAATAGCTGTCTTTACACAGTAAGAGTAATCTTTAAACCAAATAGAAAATTGTCTTATCTTCTGAAGTTCAGGCAGTACTTTATGTACTTGTAGTATCGTCTATTGATATTGTTGTTTTTCTTTTTTCCTTTCCTATAACAGATAGAGTTGTTGATTGCCAGCAGAAGACACGGCCCTGTGGGGTATGAACATAACATTTCACTTACCATCCGCTGGCATTTTCAGTGGTTAGCACCATCCATCAATGTTTTTGTCTTCTCAGTAGTGTCAGCACATAAATGATGTTCCAAATGCTTTCATTTCTTCAGCTTCTGAGATGAATTTGCTTGCTTAGGTAAATTTGCTACGCTATCTAAGTCTAGGCCATGTCTTGCAACATTTAAAATAGTACATTCATTTTCCTAACAGTTCCTGAGTCATGACTGGCACATAACCAAAATTAAAAAAACAAATAAAAAAAACAACAACAACAAAAAACAAAAAAACAAAAAACAACAACAACAAAAAAAAACAGCTTTCGACAGTTTATAAAAAGTGGCAACATTCCCACAAATCTGCTTTGTCTTTATAACAAAGCAGCTTCTTTCTGACTAAGGCTGTAAGGTATCTTTCTGATTAGTTTACTCAATCCTGAGATGTTGTGTTTTGTTTGTTTTTTTTTTTCCACTGGGAACTTAACATACATCACATGAAAAAAAAATAGGGCTTTAAAATTCAAACTTAATCTTTGTATTCACATTCTGAGTTTCACTCTCATGTTTTTGGCTGGTTCACTTCAGAGATTAGCCTGCTGCAAGATCCAAACCTGAACCAGTGGATTATTTGAGTCTTAGGGTTTGTTTTCAAGTTCCTGCTAGTATTTAATTACCAATGTTATTAATGTAATTTGATATATCTTTATTTGGGAAAAAGCAGATGGCAAGCACAATCGGAAGTGTTGGAATGATTGTGCTAATGGATCTTCTAAGACAGTAAGGATTTAAAAAAAATGATTATTGCAAATAATGGATACCAATATTTTTTAACTCTACAGAAGCATCAGCCTAACGGGTCACATTTCTCTCACCTTTGCATAAAGAAACCATGTGGGATAAAAGCTACAGGCTAACTATATGTAACATGCATATACAATTGGAAACATTTTTAATTTATACAACTAATTAATAAAAACTGTGATGAACCAGGAGAGAGGGTATGTTTATAAAAAATAAAAAATGAGCAACTGACTTTGGAATCAAATACTGTCAATGCCTTTTGCTTGTAAAATAAAAGATTTCATAGGGAAGCATTATTTTTGGACTTAAGGCATAATTTCTAAACTTAACAAGTGATTTATTACATCTGTGGACTGAGACACCACCTACCTGTACATGTTTTTGGGTTCTGCCAAGACTTCGTGTAGAGCTGAACAAATTATTTGTATTTGCAGTTTCTGTGGCCAGTTGTTTGTCTATGGATTGTTCCATTCCTAGCCATTATTTGTTTGAGGTCTACATATGACAACACGCAAAGAGAAGAGCGTCTCTTTATGCTTATCTTTGGTACCTAGGACAGGACAATTGGTTTAAGATGTTAAATGGAATTGCTATGTATTAGTAAAATCAGTAACAACAACATTCTTAGAATAGCAGGAGAAAACCTTGTAGTAATGGTAAAAGCAGCATCTCAAAATTATGCCAATGAGGCTTAATTAGAATATATATGGGAATAACTTAGGTTTGAGAATAGTCTTATAAAATTAATGGAAAATTCACTAGCTAATTTGTCATTCTAATAATTAAAACTATATATAAACCATTCCTTAAAAGTATCTTGTAATGACAAATTCTCCCTTCAGACTTATAGACGTTTTGCATGCTTACATGAGGGTAAAATTTCATCCATCTGGAGGTTCATGAGAAAAAATATAAACCATTTAAAGTATTTTTGAGTATTAAAAGTAATTGTGAGTATTTTTGATTATTTTTGCAATAATAAGATAAACTTCAACTGTATTGAGATCCTCTAATGCAATGAAAAAGCCTTCCTAGTGGGTTAGAGATGTATCCCATCTTTGAAAAGTGTCTATAAGGAATAGCATGTGCCATATGACAGAGCATTAGAACAGGTTGCCCAGAGAAATTAAGTCTTCTTCAGAGATACTCAAAACCCAGCTGCATGTGTTCCTGTGCAATATGCACTTGATGACCCTGCTTGAGGAGTGGGGTTGGCCTAGATCTCCAGAGGTCCCTTCCAGTATCAATCATTTTGTGATTCTGTATCATTTACATTTAATGACAGTGCTGGGGTAGAATACAAATGGTTGATTTTATTTCCAGGAATCATAATTGGTCCACATACTAGTTTTAAACCCCAAACTCTTCTGAAACTGCTCTAGTGAGAAATAATAATGTGACACTTTCAAAAAATGACAAAACTTCATTCAGAACATGGTTTACCGTATGCAATAAATTAGTATTTTTTTCTTCTCCAGCACACATATCAAGACTGTTTTGTTAACTTTAAGTTGTTGAATGCTGAAAAGAATTTACACCATTTTCTTGTCATGTCATCATAAAAACATTACCCTGGAACCTGTCTGGAATAAAATAAGGTTCTCAGTCCCTGGATTTTCGGTGGAGAATCAACTGAAGATGTAGGGACTGGATTAAAAAGAATCATCTGGGAGGTCCGTAGCAAGGAAATAATTTTAAAAATCTCTTTCAATTCCTTTGTTTCCCTGTAAGGTGTGAGTGCATTTCAAATCTGTAGGGAGTTATGGAGAAGTGTGAAGTAAACCTGGAATGATGGGGCTGTTTTGCATGGTTTACAAGTATATGGTAAACATCTGAGCTACTTCCACTTGGAGTGGAGATAGGGACCCAGAATATGGGATCCTGTCCATACATTGTCCACATATCTGTGGAAAAATCTTCAAATTAGAAACATGGAAGGCTAAAACTCAAAGCCGTTTAAATGGTCAGAGTCTTGATTCTCCTGGAACAGCTTCTCCACAGGAGACGTAGAAGAATTCTCTACAGGAGATGTAGAAGTCTCCACACACCCACAGGAGTCGGCTCTGTGCCCCTCACAGCAGGCTGAAGCACACTGCTCCGTGCAGTACCACGGCCGGTCTCCCCACACCCCATGTGGAGAGCCCTGCCTAGCGTTAAGTGGGACGTGAAGAAGTTTTAATAGGCCAGAATTTTATTCCTCCCATCCCCAAAAGGATCTGACTCTCCCCTGCCCCCCCAATTTTTCCCTGATCTCCCCCCAAAACCTCTATATCGCACCTGGCGCCATCCCCAGGGATCTTCTTCGAGATCTTCTTCTCCCCTCACCCTACAGCCATGGCGGGGCACTGCGGGGAGGCGCCCACCCGGCAGGGAAAGAGATGAGGGGAACGGACGGCAGCTGTGGGGAGGGAAGGGCACCGAGGGGACGGGGGAAGGCAGCGGCGAGCCTGAGGTGAGGGGGACAGGAGAGGCGGGCACCGCCGCGGTCCCTCAGCGCGCTGGGCGACGGAGAGCGGCCGGCGGGGCCCTAAAGCTCCCCTCATGCTCGCCACCTCCTCGGCAGGGAGCCCCCCGGGCTGGGAGGCGGAAGCCCTTGGAGGAGGCGCCTCGCAACAGATGGTTAAAGCCGGCTCCTCGCCGCGGCCCGCATTGGAGGGAGGGAGGGAGGGATAGAGGCAGCGGCCGGAGCTGCGCGGAGCGGCGCGCAGCGCCCCCAAGCCCGCTTTGCTCGCTCCCGGGGCGGGCGCTGAGGAGAGACCGCCGCCATCCCACCACCCCCGCGACTCCAGCCCTCGGCGGCTCCGGGCCACCTGCGAGTTTTAACCGCCCGCCGGGCGCTGTGAGTAATGCCGGGCCGGGCTGGGGCCGCCGGAAGGGCTCTGGCTGCGGGAGGCCCTGAGGGCTCGGCTCCTCAGGCTGCCACCGCCCGCGCTTGAGGCGGGCGAGCCGGAGCCGCCGGCTTTGCCGGCTGGAGCCGCCTTTTCCTCCGGTTTAACCCGTACGCGGGGAAGGTGCGGGAGCCGATCCTCCCCGGGACGGGTGGCTGTGTGGACGTCGGGCAGATTTTTATCACCTGTGAGGAAAACCCCCTGCCATTCGGTCCCCTTTCCCTTTCCATCCCGGCTTCGACGCTGGAGCCGGCTAATTACCGGGCTTTCCTGAGGTGCGGGGAGCGGCCGGCCCAAGGTCACGCAGCGAGGCGGTGGCAGAGCTGGGGAATAGCTTAAAAAACTTCTGGTGCCCGGTCCTGGTGTCGGCTCAACGAGGCTGCAGGGCTCCGGGCAGGGACGGGGTCCAGCTGTAGGTAGGTCTCTGATCACCTCGTCTTTTTGTTCTCCTTCAAAAGGTTGCCTACTGATGTGAAACCACACAGAGGTGCGATGTCCGTGTTGTCTCCCTCATCTTCTCTAGCCTGCAAGCATGTAAATGAGTACGTATATAGGCTTACTTTTCTTTACTAATATTAAGTTCAGTAGATAAAAACAGAAATTGTTAGACTATGTTTTGTTTTTAGGTTTATAGTATTAATAAGTAATGTCTGATATTAATAGTAAATGTATTCGCATGCCATCAGAGAGGAATTATCAAAAAAAACCTTAATTGCTTGGGTGTTAACTGTATGCCAAAACTAACCTGCAGTGCAATGTGTTTTATGCTTAATGCATGTAAAATATTTGGTGGGCCATGTCATAAAACTAATGTATAATGGGTTTAAGAGTTCTCCAAAATATGCAGTTTCAGTAATTATCTTAATATTAGATTTTTGCAAAATGATCTTCTTTCCTCCCTTCTCTCTTTATCTCTAAACATAACTTTTATGAGTTCAGATAAAGGTATTCTGCTGTCTTTTGCCCCACTGTCAGCGTTTCTCTGAAGTTTCTCATTATGTTCAAATATACATTTAGATTCTAAGGATGATGCTTTGACTAAACATATTAGAGTCCTCTAAGTAAATCCTCTTCATGTAATTTTGCAGGGCTTTGCATTTCACACCATGTCATGCAGCAATTAAACTTAAAAAGTTAAATGTGCTTTTTCAAAAACTGACCACCTATCCTTCTCAATTTTACCTTACCCATTCTGCTTGGTTAAGGGGGGTGTGGAAATGCAATTATGAGGGGTTTAGGAAGGCACTCAGAATATTAGTGTAAATAGGACAGATTAATTTGCATTAGACAGTTCAGGTGAACTCTGGACTCTCTTCTAAACAAATCTTGGAATTCAAGGCAAGGTTCCTGTATGATTTTTGTGTGTGTGTCTTTGTTTTAACTTTATTCAGAAGACAATGCATTATTCCCAAGGTAATTAATGGACTTTTTTTTTTCTTTGGACTTTAATATTTGCAAAAAAAGAAGAAACCTCTTTGTGCTTGCATTTGGGCTATGCAACACTTCTTTTGCTGCAAGGATTCCTTGCAAGGAGTCTTACTTCAGGTAACTTCTAGCTAGAAGTGTTTGCCCTTGCTGTATAAAAACCCTCTTGATTAGTCATATGTTTCAGTACTGATACTTTATCATTTCTTTTAAATGGATAGGAAAAAGTCTGAAGTCAGTTCACCGAAGTAACTCACATTATTTCATTAAACAAATTATTAAGTTAAAATAGCTGATGCTTTGCTATGGCCCTGTATGTTTTGTTTTTAAAAATAGTCTGTGTTGCATTGTTGGCACTTACTTTCAAGCATCTGTTACAAGGACTTCAGGCAAGAAGAATCATGGGTGTTCATCTACATAAACAAAACTCAAAATGGCTTGGTGATGTCAAACTTGGAAATAAAATTGACTTGTTTACAGTAAGTTGGTAATGTAACTGAATGAATAGGACTGTTTTCTGTTGCAAATGAAAAAGGTGGTGGAGTAAAGCAAATACTTGTGCAGTATAGCAGCAGAAATATTTTTGAGATGCTGGAATTAATAGTAGGAATAAAGACAACTGTAAATAGCTTCCTTTTTATGAAGGAGCTATTGCAAAAAAAGATTCACAGGCCAGTAATCAGTATGTACTGTTGTCTTCTGTTATTACAGTGGAAAGTGGAAATGGAAAAATAAATATCTGGTATCTCAAAGATCTCTACAACTTGGAAAAGGTGTGGATTTATTTAATCTTCCCTTCAAAATTGTTTTTAGAAGTAATTAATTTGAATTTCAGGCTTCTTGCTTTTTAGATAGCATAGAATGATTGAAGTCTTTTCTAAATGATTGTGCTTCCTAAAAACCACATTTTTCTCTTTTCCTCTCAAGATCCTTTCCTCAGCCACCTATGAATTTCAGAATAGAGCAAAAGTGAGCTCAAGAGCTGCTACCAACCCATCAGAGCATTTTGATTAAAGTTGTTTCTGAGATCCTACTTCTGTGTAGAATTCTCTGTGCTTTTGCCAATTTCCATTAAGTGTAGATAAGACTTGGCTTTCTAATTTTCCCTTGCAATATCATTGATAGAACAAATTCTCATTTTTGTCAATAATTTCTCAGGCTAATTTCTCAGGCTGGAGTGGGCATTCTGGAGAATGAGATACAGGCCTACACTTTCAGTATGAAATTAGATGTTCCAGAATGCTTATGGGTTTTGAGAGTACCTGGATTTGTTCCAGTGTAAGCTATGATTTGATTTGAAACCTGAAGAGCTGTCACGAGTGTCTTGTCATTTGTTTTGTTTTTGTTTTATTTTCCCTTCCCGTTAGTGGTATCTAATACACTTGGATTTTTAGTTAATCTTTCAGAAACTGTCTGCATTTCTCACAATTGTTTGTTGCTAGTTACCTGCCTCTACCCTATCCCTCACACACACACACACACACCAAATGGTACATATGGAGTGATAATGCAAGTCTGTTAAGGGAGGATGTCAACTAATTAGTGGTTGACATCTGTAGGAGGACAAAAGATTTGTAATACTTGCAAATATTGCACATATTCAGAGAACAAGTCTGAAATACTACCTCAGCTTCGTCTCATTAGTAGATATAACCATGCCTTTCTACAAATACAAATGCTGAAAGTCCAAAGGTCTTCAGCAAGAAGCAGCATCCAAAGAAACGTTGCTTGTGAGGCAGTAAGAACATCTTAGTAAGCAGATAATTTAATCTTCCCTCTTGTAAGGAGTTGTACTTGAGTTCCAGTGTTCCCATAACACAGGAAATGTATGCCAATCTCCTGTGACTGCCACAGGATCTGTCATGTGCAGATCTCTGCATGCTAATATCTACAGTGGTCTTATCTTCCCACAATGCAAAATTCCATTTTCTGTATCAACGCAGTTTAAATCTACAATTGGGTAACACTTCTTTCTTTCTTTTTTGTGAATACAGTAGTTCAACAGTTTAACCGAGACCCACCTCTGTGTCTGTGGGTGTGTGTGTGTGTATGTACACAAGAAATATGGGGTTTCATGTACACGAGAAATACGGGGTTATGTACTTGTGTTCTTATTTTTCCAGATCCTGGTGAGTGAGATTTCCCATGAAAGTGTTTGAGATAATGTCTTACTTCTGCAGTTTGGCTGTGGTAGGAAATCTGTTTTGGTGCTCAGAATGACACTAAAGTGAAGTAATTAATGTGAAAGATCCAAATAACATAACAATAGGAGATCTTATTCAAATGCAACTTTCTGTAAAGCTGAATAAGAGTCACTGTTAAGCAGCTATTACTTTATTTAGTTTTACAACACCCTATTTTATGCTTACAGCCTTTGCAACACAGATACAGTTCCTACTCTAAATCTGTACAGAATAAACTGAAGTAACTAAGCAGATGAAATATATACGGTTACATGTTGACATTTCTAATCTGGTCTTGTATCAGTGATGTGTTTTTTTCCCCTGTGAACAATGTAGAAGCTTTTTATGCAGTTAGTATCTGTAAGGAGTTTATTCCAAATCTTTGTTTCATTATTTTGTATTTGTCATTATATGTTCTAGTGTTTTGTCTTATTTTTTTCCACAGTAAAATCATGAGTAGTTCATAGTTCAGTAAGTTTGAGCAGCTTGTGGTAGAATACAAGTTTTGATGTGTGATCACTAGTACTAATTAGCATGGTTAATGGATTGTTGGAAGAGAGTGTCAAAATAAAGAGGTGTCTGTTAGGCTCCAGATTAGTTTCCAATCTGCATGTGGTATTCAAAAATAAAGGTAGTGTATTTGAGGAAACCACTGTAAATACCGATACCTCACAAGGAGTAACAAAAATACTGGCTAAAGTCTCATTGCTCCAGAAAGACAAGTGCCATTTTAAAAATAAGCAGCTTTTTATTTCAAGTTTCTAACAAGAAAGTGGTTTTGTTGCCTGTTTTATCTGAAGATCTTGGAGATGCATCAATCATTGTAGAGGCCTGAAAATACTGATCCAGGAGGTAGAAAGCACTATAACCAGTGATGCTGGGGTGATCTGATAGTTCTGGCCAACTCTGACTGAGGCAGTGAATATGATTACCAAGTTTAATAGATGGGGTCAGTGTATTTAGGAATTTGGCATTTTCTAGAAATACTTGGGAAAAGAAGATCAGGGATCATCAAGATGCTGAAGTCTGTCAGAAGGTGATGTCATTTGCATCTAGAAACCGTATAAGGAAAATTTTGTGAAGCTCCATGCACATTTAGGAACAACATTTCTGATCCTTCTCTCATGCAAAATATCTGGTAGGACTCTTCAGAAATAAAAGGATCTTAATACTGGCAGGTCTTCACAAGGCTTTCTAGTTCAGTTTCCCTTGCTCCTTTTCTGCTTTTCCCCTTTTTTTCTTCGTTAACAGTAGTAATGTTTATGTTGCATTGTTAAAATTGTGTAAATTTTCAGGTGGAGTGTGCAGATAGGATAAAAGTAATGAAATGCATGTGTTTTTTTTTTTCTTGGGGGGGTATAATTACAAGGTTGTTTTGTGTGAATTTTAAGTATGTGTAGTGAACAAGATTTGCAGCAAACTCCAGGTATTCATTTGTGCTGTTTGGCTCACGAGTTCTTAATTCTCTGCACTGCTGTATTCTCTCTAGTGCAATTAAATAGTTATTGTCTATTGTCTTTTGAACAAATGTTTGTGTATAGTTCCATTGTTGGATGGATTTCACTCCCTCCCCACAGCAATGAATAATTTGAATTGCTTTAACTTCTAAGATGTGTTTGTTTGTTGTTTTTGTTTTTTTTTTTTTAAATAAAAGTCTACATGACTTACTGCTATAACTTTTGAAATTCTGATATAACCTCAGATATCTAATCATAGTGTATAGAAATGTCTAGTATTGTTCCAGTTCATATCCTAAGGTATCCTTAATCCAGGTCACCTATGTGACTTCAGTGTCTTTGAGGTTCTTTTTCCCTAATTTTACTGACTATGAGTCATCTTCATCACCAGTTTTTGTCACCTTTGTGGCTTTGCAGCCAACATACAGCTTATGCCTTTGGAAAGAGCAAAAAGCAAGCTGTGCTACTGACTATAAT